TTTGACAGATAAAGAATATTTCTTTTAAAAGAAAATGAGACTCCAACTGTTGATTGTCACTGCAAGTTGAAGTTTATTGCCAAACTCAACATAAAATGAAGAATTATACACATTGGGCATTTAAAATCCCCAAAATGTAATGCTAACAAATGCTAACAAACAATGTAAAAGACAATAAAGTTGTGGTGTTTGAACCCTTTAAACAACGGATATTTGACCACAAACGGTACATCAACACATGTAGACAGGCAATCTAAGAATACTGACAGGCATATTGCCATTAATAGAGTACCCATAAAAGCAGATCCTACCAAAGCATGTCAACAGTCTCTTGGATAACTAGATGCAGAAGACATAGAAGAGAGTGTTGACTGGGAGAAAGTTCAACGGACTGACCATATGTCACAGAGGTATCCAAGTTTAGATACTGGAAGACTTCAGGCCTATGTTTATCTACATTTATTTTTGTGCTTGCAAACACTTTGTTTTTCTTCTTTCTACCCCCAAAATTTGCTGCTGTAGACTGTAAATTTCCCTAGTGTGGGACAAATAAAGGATATCTTAAACTTAAATAATACAGTCCCACAGTAACTGCAGAGCAACTGCACAGCAATTGATACATCAAGGAACAATCAGTCACAACACACCCATTGAGTGTATCGAGTGTCTTAGCATCAACTGATTATTCCCAACCAAAAACCCAGCACCCACTGATGCACATAAACTCCCAGTTGAATTCCAGTCATATTGCCTGTTGTAAAAGCGTTTCTGGAAGAGTATTCAAGGTTGTCATATTCTGTGACAACTTGAACAACACTTTGCATGTTTAATTAGGTGTTTTTCCTCATAATAATTTTCATTTGTATGGACAATCCATTTTGCTCGATAAGACGATGGCAATTTTTATCACCCCCCAACCCCCATCCCACCGCATGTCTCATGACATTTTCATCTTCCTGCTAAGCCTTTGAAAATAATGAGCGTCTTGGCTTTTCATCTACATCTTGTCTCGTCTGCTGGTCATCATTTCACCTGGCCTGTGCTCATCTTATTGCCAACCACATGGGGACAACACTGGCCGCTGTGCAATGGCTGATGCTACTTTAAACCAATTAGTAGATCCTAAAGTTCTCTAATTTGTTTAAAAACTACATCCCCCCTCCCCCCCATAGGAAATTATGTAAAGTTAAAAAACAAATTTCCTGGGAGGGCAAAGTTTTGATTTCACTTGACGGTCAGGCAAGCAAAAAGTGATACTCATCACTGTAGAATAAAACTTAGAGTAAAACTACTCACCTTCTGAAAGATCTGTAACAAGAAGTTTCCAGAAGAATGCTGTCATTTAATGGCAATTTTAAAGTGGTAAAACAGTAATATAAATGACTTCAGTACACAAACATGGTACCAAGTAGATGCTCATTTAACGAGAAGCACAACGAACATTAACTAGCTTGAGAATGACAAGAAGCATCGGTCAAGTGCGAATTTGCAAAGGGTGAGTAATTTAATTGTATGCCACCCTTGCCAACCTCTTTATAGTCAGGTTTCAAAATTTTTTAATTTAATACAAATATCTTAAACACAGTCCGTGAAGATTTTATGGTTGTGTGTGTATTTACATCAACATCCACCAATGCATCCATCCATTTACTTCTGCTTATCCGGGGTCGGGTCATAGCGGCAGCAGCTTCGCCAGAGAAGCCCAGATTTTCATGTCCCCAGCCACTTTATTCAGCTGTTCCGGGGAGGTCCCGAGGCGCTCCCAGGCGAGCCGAGAAACCCAGTGTGTTCTGGGTCTTCCCCATGGCCTCCTCCGGGTGGGACGTGCCCAAACACCTCGCCAGGGAGGCGTACAAGGAGGCATCCTCATCAAATGCTATAGCTAGCCAGCCCGCTAGTTTGCCGGCAAGCTCAATAACTTTATTCATAAGTAGTCGCAACATTTGATGCACTTTGAACTGTTATTTATTCACTCGTTCATTTCTTATTCTTTATGTAATGTGAATTTATCAATTAACATATTACCAATTAATTTTTAGAAATCAATGTATTGTCCATGCTTTTTAATTTAATGCGTATGTTAAAGAGTTCCTTGATGTTGTACAGTATTAGTGTTTGACATATGTACATTGCTAAACTCAAGTTTTGGTAGTAGAGTGGTGCCTTGTGATACAAGCTGGTGTTTGGCCAAACAAAATGATTAACACGTTGCGTATTGAAAACAACAGCTTAACCTTTCTGTGGTGAAGGAAACAAGTTCTCTTGGGAATAACCTTTGTCAAAAAAACATGTCAAATGACATCGACACAGTCTGGGCTGACTTGCTTGTTATTTGTCTTGACGTGTTGTGTTGTCCTCGTCGGAGACAAAGTCACGGCTCGTTCCACAATATGGCAGCCATTTTGTGCGTGTGTGTTAGTGACACTGTGTTATTTTATTGTCAGAGCTGTCTGATGCGTGACTCTGTTGGATTTTCTTCCCACTCAACAGTGGAAAGATGCTGCCTTTCACAGAGCTTCATATAAGCACGCCGTTGGTAGATACAGCACAAATACAAGTAGTTATTACCTACAGGAAAATGGACGAGGTGCAGGTGAATTAGGAGGCAATTCGAATGCAATGGAGCAAGCAAGCAAAATCTGGCATCACCCGCGAAACAATCAAAGAGGCAGGCCCGTACATGCTAGGTTCCTCCATATATTCCCCACATGACACCGGTGTCGCCTGGGAGCTTTTCTCTGGGTCACAGAGAAGCCTTCCACCTGTCTGCGTGCTCATTATCAGCAGATGATACCGAGCCCATGTGCTGTGTGTGTGCGGAGATGCCTGCGTGCTTATGGTGTGTGTCTATAGGAGGAGGGAGGGGGACTGGGCGGAGCATAAAAGTGTAGGTGTGAAGATGTGTGTGCATGTGTGTGCGTGGGTGTTTGCGGATGTAACCGTAGGCTTACGGACAGACGTGTATTCACACGTGTGTATTTGTAAGTGCAGATGGCATGTGCGAGTGTGCTATTGAGATGAATCGAAAAGTAGATCTTGAGTCAAAAACTTTTGGGCACCCCTGGTGTAAACCATTGAAGTCAATTTTCCACGTCATGTACCCATTCAAATGATGTTCACAGCATTCATTTTACTTTGACATGACTTTTGCAGTGTTGAATGAGGTAAATTCACAACACATAGAGGTGCACCTCAGCCTTGTTGGTGGCAGTAATTTGCACAAAATGGTTACCGAATGCCGCACTCCATCTGCTGGATCTGGTGAGACTCCACCACATTCAGTCAAAATACAAGCAGATGGTAACCTCCGCAATAAATAAAAATACATTCTCTGATCTGCACCAGACCTGCATACAAACCTTAAGCATCTCACCTCACATTTTTCATGTTTGCAGGAGGTAATGAAGCATAATGGTGCGCGTGAATGAATACAACCCATCAACATGCTAATAGCACGCTTTTGAAGGCCTCACTGATTAATTAACGGCTGTGTAGAATGTACTGAAATGAAGCATCTGGACTCAACAGGCAGTCGGCAACAAAATAATAAACAATAATTATAATTAGGGCGTTTCAATTCCCCGAGTGGGAAATTTGATACTATCTGAAAATGTCTTGAATTGGTGTGTGAGGCAGAGCTCGCCTCCACGCACGGCTTAGGCTCTGGTACCACTCCTTTTGAGAGGAGTTGGACACTCTCCCATTCTGGAGTCGCCCGGTGAGAGGCGTGGAGCAGGTGTGGCATATTTGGTGACTGTACATTGGGGCTCACCTCGGTGGACGAGAGGGTAGCCTCCCTCCGCCTTTGAGAGGGGAAACGGGTCCTGATTGTTTTTGTGCCGATGCACCAAACAGCAGTCCAGAGTACCCACCCTTCTTCGAGTCCTTTGAGGGTGTTGTGGACAGCACTCCCTCTGGGGACTCCATCCTTCTACTGGGGAACCTCAATGGTCAAGTAGGCAATAACAGTGAGCTCTGGAATAGGCTTGATAGGGCGGAATGCCCCGCCCCCCCCCCGCCCCCCCCCATATGTGAACCCAAGTGGTGTTCTGTTATTGGACTTCTGTGCTCGTCACGGACTGTCTATAACGAACACCTCATTGACACATAAGCGTGTCCATAGATACACTTGGCACCAGGACACTCTAGCCCAGGGGTGACTAACCCGCAGCTCGCGATCCGCATGCAGCTCTTTGGCTGGCTCAATGCGGCTCCCGGGCTTTCAAATGACAAGCGTCAAAAACGCCTCGGCAGTGGCGCTGCCATTCAAACAACGGTGCTAAATACACAGAACTTACAACGTCAGCCGATCATCAATCCCGTTAATTGATTGACATACAGGGCAACAATGGTGCTCAGCGCTAAGTGCTAAGCTAGTCAGTGAATTACCTCAGATTTTAAGGCAGGGGTGCCCAATACATTAATCGCAATCAAACAGGAGCCAGCGGAGTGGTCCCAAGTCGAGCGCAAGCGTTGGGAGGAGGAAATGGGGGCGAAACAAACTGTGTGTCCGTGTATTTCGATTTCGATTATGTTCGGTGACGTTCCGGCTGCCGCTCATCTCGGCGTGCTTGTGTGCTTGTGTATGCGCACGTGTGAGTGGTTGGGCGTCCGCATATGTGCGTGTGTGCGTGCGTGTATATATGCTTGCACATGCGCGATCGAGTCGATCATGGGAGGTTCGTCGCTTCAAAAATTGATCTTCGGTCAAATATGTAGCAAGCTGACCCAAGTAGTAAGTAACCAATGCAGCTCGTGTGTGTGTGTGTGTTTGTGTGTGTGTGTGTGTGTGTGTGTGTGTGTGTGTGTGTGTGTGTGTGTGTGTGTGTGTGTGTGTGTGTGGGGGTGGGAGGGGTATGTGTATTTTTTTTTTAACTTTGACTTTAAGGTTAGCTGAGCTAGTTTGCATGCCGTTATAATAGATAGTTTATTTTATTTGACACATTTTTGCAAATGTGGCGTGTGTTGATAACAGTTTTTTTTCCCCCATTTGAATGAGTTGAAAAACAAATTCAGGAGATCCTCGGGCTACGACGGGGTTCGCTTCTTCCGGCAGTTGTGTAACCCGAATTTCTGACGTAATAGTTACAGTTAATATTTGTATGGAAAATACTTCTTGGCAGGCGCTAAATAATAATTGGTTTAAGTTCTGTTATACTTAACTCTTAAGTTAAATACATTTTCACAAAAGCTTTGAGAATGGTTTGACTTATTTCCTCATAATTTTAAATGAGTCCTTTACCTAGTTTTTTTCCCCCTACGTCTAAGCGCAGTGTTAATATTCAAGTTGTGCTGAATGTTAACGTGGCTTACTAATGTTAGACTTTTGAGGAATAAAGTCTCGGTCTTGTTTTTAATCAACACTCGCGGCTACTACTATGTGACTACATTTTAATATGATGTAATGAGCTGAGTATATATTTGGGGTTTTTAGGTTGGTATAAAAATATTTGAGAATGAAAGTAGTTAATTGCTCCATATTTGTAACCTTGAAACTGTGCCATTGATCTGATTTTTACAGTGGAACCTCTCGGTAGTAGAACGAAAGTGTAAACCTCAAAAGTCTTTGGACATTCAGGGAAGCACGACCAGAACAGCTGAACTTTATTGAGTCTTAAATTGGTTTGAGGCGTGTGCCGACTCGTATGATTGTAATGGGATAGTTCTGAATGCAGCCCCGTCCCCAGTGAAACTCAAATGTGATTCTGTTGTATCGACAATTTCCCAATCAGGCAGTATGAGCAGAGAGCTCAACGTGCCCACGGGCTCGCCGGCCCCGGGTATGTCAGAGCGGGCTCCGGATGGCGGCAGCGGCGGCAGCGGCATGGACTACCGGGACTGGGTGCGGCGCAGCTACCTGGAGCTGGTTAGCTCCAACCACCATTCGGTGCAGGCCCTCTCCTGGAGGAAGCTCTACCTGAGCAGGGCCAAGCTCAAGGCCTCCAGCAGGACCTCTGCGCTGCTTTCTGGCTTCGCAATGGTCAGTCTCCTTCAATTTTATTTCACATATCTCATTAATGCCGTGACGCTGATGCTGTGCTACGGTGTTGTGCATCACTGGTTGTCATTGAGCTACATTTTGTTGCACGCCCACAATGAAAGTGTGCGTGTGTTGCGGCGCAAGGTGGCCATGGTGGAAGTGCAGCTGGAGATGCAGTACAGTTACCCGCGCGTGCTGCTGGTGGCGTTCAGCGTGTGCACCACGGTGCTCGTGGCCGTGCACCTGTTCGCGCTGCTCATCAGCACGTGCATCCTGCCCAACGTGGAGGCGGTCAGCAACATCCACAACCTCAACTCGGTCAGCGAGTCGCCGCACGAGCGCATGCACTACTACATCGAGCTGGCGTGGGGCTTCTCCACCGCGCTGGGCATTCTGCTCTTCTTGGCCGAGGTGGTGCTACTCTGCTGGATCAAGTTCCTGCCCGTGGACTCGGGAGGTGCCGCCGCGACGACAACGGCGCCCGTTGCGCAAGACAGCGGCTGGCTGGCGGCGCTGGCGTCCACCATCATCATGGTGCCCGTGGGGGTCATTTTCGTGGTGTTCACCGTCCACTTCTACCGCTCGCTGGTGCGCCACCAGACGG